GGTTGGCGTCCGCGGTGGCTTCCAAATGCGCAATATACGCATTCGCCTCAGCATACACATTGTCGAGAACGAACTGGTGCCGACGTTCTGCTCGAAGCTCCAGTGCACTTTGTATGCGAGGATCGTTAAGGAAGACATTGACCTGGTTGTTTTCCTGCAGTAGTTGTAGGAAATACTGGTTGGCCTCCGCTTCTGTCCTACCACCATCAGTGTTGCCCGTGGCCGCGGTAAACGGCACAATATCCATTGTCAAAGCAACCTACGGCTGATAACCTGAAGTTTCTCAGGCTAACAGCTAAGCACGGCTAAGTACCGGTAAGTCAACCCTGTGGTCTTTTTCCAATGGGGACTTGGGCCAAGCGCGCGTCGCGTAACGATGTAGCTAAGGACCATAGAAAAAGTCATGGAGGCAGGGTAAAATCTACAAGGACCTCAGAGTTGGCTTCACCTTCAAATCTTTTGAGTTTTCATCTTCCCGCTCCAACAAACGAACCATCCACCTCTTAGCCAGCAAGGATTTCCTCTGGGATCTGCGGATTGGGAGGGCCTTGAGGTATCGCAATCAACACCCACTGCAAGCATCGACCTCAACGATTCATCAAGGCCTTGTAAAGGGCATCCCGGAGACTCCAGCGCTTGCAAGAGGTGAGCTCTGTTCCCTGATTGTACGTAGGCGGCGAACATCTCATCCCACTCCTTCACCTCCATCAAACTCAAGGTTCCAAGAAAGGTCTCCGCCGTGGCCTCCCGCAGTTTCTGCAGCTTCTCCTGCTCGAGCTGGTGGATCAGATCCCACGCCTGGGTCTCGCCAAGCAACGGGCAGTTGCCCTTGACCAACGTCTTAGTCTTCAAGGCCCCAAACTGCGGGTGAATGATTTTCAGCCTGCCCTTCTTGGTCCAAGACAACCAGGACAACTCACATCCCAGCGTCTGAACCAGAGCTCCCATTGGAAGAATTGTTGACAAATCTTGCGCGTTCTCGGATTCCGCCGTGAGCATCACAGTGCCAGCCTTGTTCTGCCTGAGAGTCACTGACTGACCTCCTGCAAGTTCCGCCCGCACAGGTACCCCATCGGTTTCATGTAGAGCTCGTTCTCGGCAAGGGTGAGAGGCGCCACTGTCTAACAAAGCCATACGCGCCTCCTCATCGAAGCCCAACCCAGTCATCTGAGTAGTAAGCTCCTTCAGGCTCTGATCCAAAAAAACTCCACAGCCTGCAGCCGAAACAGCTAGTTGAGCATAGCATTGGCCTGTTGTAGAAGAGCACCAATCTCTTGAGTTCGTTCATCATTGCCCGGGTGCTCCAACGTAGACGCCGTAGACATAGCTGACGAAGTCGCTGGAATCGCAGGGGTTCCAGGATTCCAGGGGCTGCCGTAGAACCGCTGTCAAAGTGCCCGGCGTCACACTTGCCGTCGTTGCAGCGGCTGCGCCCATAACAGCTTGAATCGACTCCATGATCGCCTGCTGTTGCTGCGCCGTCACCTGGTTCAAGGTTGGGGTGGCAGTAGAGGACGTGGCCGGTGTAGTTGATTGTCTACCCTTGGTTGGGGACGTTGGTTTACCAGCCTTCACTGGACACTCCTTCTGAACATGCTTGGTGGAACCACAAAACCAACAACGGCTCTTCTTGGCTTCCTTGGTGGTGAAGGTGTGGTTGATTTTGCATGCCTGCCCCTTCGTGCAGCCATTGTTTGAGGCAAAGAACCGGCACGGGACCTTTCCGGTTGCAGCTGAGGTGTCACCAGACCTTCGAGATGGAGACCCAGATTCTCCAGTTCCAGCACGATTGGTCGTAGCATTCACGCCCTTCAGCTTCGTCCCATCTGGATTGGTAGTTGTACCCTGCCTGAGAGCCTTGCGATCGTGCCGGAGTGGCCTGTTGGAGCTCGGCAAGTACGTGGTTGTAGTACTTCAAGACATTCTCCAACGTCGGCCTGTGTTGCAACTGGAGCTGGGGCTTGGAGAGGGACAGCCGAAACTTGAGCTCCGAGTGGGTCTCAAGCGACTTCCACGACTCGCAGCAGCACAGAGGGATCTGGGATAGCCACATGCATTCCATCGGCTCGCTGAAGGTGCCTTCGCCATGTCCTTAGCGCCGCCAGTTTCAGACACTTTCCCTGTCCCACTGCTTCCTTCCAGGTGTCGCAGTATATAATGCGAAGCTCGTTCCGTGCTGCTTCCCGGAGCATAAAGAACATGTAGCGTGAACAAGAGCCCGCTGACATCGTCCTTGGCCTGCCGCTGCAGCGTTGCCAGGAGCAACGTGAGCACATGCCGCTCCAATCGAGACCCGTTCATCCTGAAGCTCTGGCGGCCTCAGGGGCTCGAGGGTCAAGCGAGCCAAGGGATCACTCATCTGGTAGACTTCGTAAGTTTCCCTTGCACTGTTCAGACACATAGAGAACCAGCTCGCCGCGCGATCACTCAGCCCACCCACTGCCTGCTCCGTCTCATACAGCCAGTCTGAAAAGCTGACAGCACTGTCAGCAGTAACTTTGGCATCGGTGGCAGCTCGATGCTGCCTCATGCCCTGAACAAGCAGCGGAAGAGGCTCCGATTCGCTTCCTTCTCCCTTGAACACTCACCGTGGGTAACGAAGTCTCCGTAGTCGAGGGTCTTGCTCCTGCATCCACATGAACCCGCTTATCACGACCTGTCAAGCGAGGTTCACTTCGATCCGCTCCTGGGGGATTGCTGCCGCCTGGTACTGAAGCACGCAACACACTGGGTGCAGGATCGCGAAGATGCCCGCCAAAACCCCCGCCAACACCAAGAGGATTTCCTCTAAGACTTCCTTGAGGTTCCTCCGGCCTCCCGGTAGAGGTGCCATGCCCTGCATCTCATCCGCACGAATGGATCTCATTGCCTTCTTTGACTCGGCCAACGCCCGTTCCAAATCCATGTTCTTTTGCTTCAGCGAAACCACCTCGGCCTTGCCTGGTTCACACTACTGGATGAAGCCTCTTCTTCCTGCGGGCGGTGCTGCGGACTTATCAACGAAGGTCGGGTCCGATGAACTTCCATTGAACCTCCGAAGACAAGAGAGGACCAGTCGAGGGCCCGGCTGGTCCCTGACCATCTGCCGAGCTTGTAAGCTCTTTCCAGCACTCGATGAAAAGCTTGCACCGGCTGAATCCGCAGAAGCTGATGCCTCCGAACCACCCCTAGCCGCAACGGTTAATTGGCTACTGTAATTGTGCCGACTCGCCGCAAATATAACCATCACAATTGGCCTGTGATTGCTCGGCCGCGCTATGTGGTGATGTCCTGTTCCTGCTTGTGCTACTCATGGTATTTGATATTGACAGTTGCGATGCGATAGTCATGATGCGCGCCAAGTATGACACATAACCCAGCTATTGATCCCCATGACACGAGAAATTCAAGCCGCACATTGCCAAACCGAGGGTGGCTATCGAACATGTTTCTTGTAGTTGTATCCGAAATCAACATCCCAAAATTCAATGGATGACAAACTGCAAGACAAGATGGGTAGCATATATATCCCGAAAGATAGCGCATGTTTCCGTGTCGATGCCAATACCAGCTTTGACAAGAAAACCACACGAAAACCATATGTATGTATATAAATAGAAATAGTGGTGTAGCAGTTATTGAACAACCTCTACATTTATGCAGTTGTTCATTGGGATTTGGTAAAGAGACAACACCGTCAATTCAAGCGAAGACACTGACCTTTGCAGCGAAAGGGGACCTCGGAAGGAACCACAGAAAGATTCTAAGCAAACTTTGAAGACACAACGGCAAAACAAAAGGCGACTAACCAAACGAAGGTATAGGTGTTGGATTGAGATAAACACTTTCATTAGATGCACGGTACCAGGCAATTAACCAATGGATACAGCTAGTGCTCTAGCGAAGCTTCAGAGCTTCGCTAAAGTTTCTGAAAACTCCAGAAGACTCGAGCTTCAGAGCTTCGCTGATGCTCCGAAGCTCCCGAAGACGCAAGCTTCAGAGTTTCAGGAAGAATATTCCTGAACCACCACTGGCGTGTAATCTAATTATCGGCAATTGAGTACCTTTTGCAACATCTTGCTTGCTCTCATAATATTTGCAGGCTTCGGGATTGGGCTGCTTACTTGCTGACATAAACATTCCCTTTTAACCTTACGAGCGTTACTCGAGTCTTCAGAAATTTCAGATGTTTTGCGAACCGAAAGGGGTGCTCTCTGTAACATATGCCTACTTTACTCCTATGTTCAGTCATGATGAACCAACCAACGATCACAGGAAAGTTCTTGTGTCAGACAACTGCGGAAGAAGATGAACATGATTTCGACTATTGAACAGCGTAATAGATACCAAGAGCATCCACGAACTGTGTTATGGCTGTTGAATACTTTTGCACTTCGGACAGTGTTTGCGATTATCGTTTGGTTTTTGTGCTGTGTTTTGGATCGTGTTGTGGGGTTTGTTGAGGATCGTTGGGAGTGCTTTGTGTTCGGTGAGGTTGGAAGAGTTTCTTAGTGTTTTGGGCGTGCACAAGGCTCTGAGCGTCTGTACGTACGAGTAGGGGTGTATAGGATGTGAGGTCTGGGGTAAGGGCGGTGCTTCCTTTGGTTTTGGATCATGTTGTGGATTGAGGTGCTTCGAGAGTGTTGTGGGAGTCTTGAGAAGCTTTGCGGGGGTAAAGGCAGCGTAGGCACGCTTCCTCTAACAACCTGCGAACACGATGCACGGCAGCACTGCAGCACCGACCTGCGACCTCAAAGGAGCAGGAAGAAGGATGAGCGGCGAGCGAACGGCTGCGGTTGGGGTCCTTTCCTCTCTCTCCCTGGAACGCTGCGGCCGCGGTGGCCCTGGGACCTCCCTGCAGAGTGGACTGCGGCGGAGCAGTCGGAGCGGTTGCGCCCCCCGATGCGCGGCACCCTGGCTTGGCCTGGCTTGAGGGCTCGAAGAAATTCACGGCGTCTGAGAGTCTTCGGTCGCTCCTCCTAGTACCTGATTTGGGTGAGCCTCACATATGCCGCATCCAGGAGTCCCAGCTCGCTCGCGAGTACGACGCGGCGCCTGCGCCGGCAGCCCAGCGAGATCCAGCGAGAGTCAGTTCTGCGCTCTGCGAGTCTGGGCATTGCCTGGGCCTTCGGTGCTTCGAAGGTCCACTCCAGGCACACAGCGGAGTGGTTGGGGGACCCGGAAGCAGAGGTTTTCTGAGTGCTCGACGTGCCGCGAAGTGAGGTGCCACCACACCCAGGAGTGATGCGCCGAGCCGCCCTGGAGGCCCCTTCTGGAGTGCAGTTACCACAAGTCGGGTTTTTGAATATTCTTTGGCGTGACTTGGGTTGTGTGTTTCTTGGCGGATGCACCGACGGGCTGAGGTCCTCTTGCGCCAACGGCTGGGGCACCGCGTTCGGCAGCCCCGCGTGGCTACCCGGTGACGCCGCCCTACTACGAGCCAGAAGAGCCGCAGAGGCAAGGCACGGCCCATGGCATCCTCAAACTCGAGGTGGAGTGCGTCGAGTGCGTGTCATATCGTGTCATGTTATATGGCAGGTCGATTGACACAGAGCTCGCGGGCCGCGCCCCTCCTGGCCCTGCTGCGGCCAGCTCAGCTTTCTCCTCTGCTTGAGTCGCGTTTCCACTGCGCTGCGGGATCCATGGGCCGAGGTGCTTAAGCCGCCCTACGCCCTCACAGATGTGGAGCCCGGACAGCGTCCCGGCGAGTCGCAGCCAGCGGCCCGATTGCGACCTGCAGTCGGAGGCGCTGGCGGGTACTTTGTGGCTGTTTCTCGGTGGTGGATTCAAATTCTTTCATTTTGCCTGGGTGGAGTTTCAGGCTCTTTCACGAGAGTGGGACCAGCTAAGCCCGCAAAGCTCTCATCCGGCTCATCCCCCAACCCGCCGCCCGTCCGCCCGTCCGCCCGTCTGTCGAAGAAGCCCAGCCTGGGTCGCAGGTCACGGAGACATCCTGGGCTGGACTCAGGCGGAGGCGGAGGCGCCGTGGGAGTGGCCCGGCGGGCCAGAGAGCTGCGAGATTCGATTCGAGCCTGGGAGGACCGTGCACCCAGTCGGTCACGGCGAGTGCCAGGGCAAAAAGCACGCCAAGGCCAAACCCTCGCCGAGCGAAAGGGCGCAGACGTAGTCTGAGCGACGGATTTTCTGTGCGGTCAGGTGCACCGGCCTCGAGCTTTCTCCAATGGCCCATGCAGGCTCGGCCATCAGCGGCGCAGCGGCGCGGCTCGAATCGCAGATGCTGCGCGATGCGCGCAGGTGCAGCAGGAGGCAGTAGAGAGGCCCGGCAGGCCCATGGAGGGCAAAGCGGCTGAAGCGGTTGGGGCCCGGGCCCGCTTTCTTGAATGGCTCTTTAAGTCTTTGCTCGGAGGCGGCTGTACGGTCGAGCTGCCTCCGCCTCTGAGTCGGCGCCCTTTGGCCGCTCCTGTGACGTGAGTGTCGGCCCCGGCAAAGCGGCGTCAGCAGCGGCGGGCGCTTCCGAAAAAGCGGCGGTGAGGCAGCGCTGGCGCTGGCTCCGCCAGCGCACGGAAAGCGGGAGCCGCTCCCTTCGGTCCGGAACCGAGACTCGCCGAGACTCGCCGAGAGGCCGAGAAGCCGAGTCGGTACGTCGCCGCGGCTCTAGGCACTGATCGGGATCTCCAGCTTCGGCGCCCCGAAGATGCAGGTGCCGATATAAGATTGTGACTTTCATCCTGGTGACCGGACAAGCGGATATCCCAGGATATCACCCTTCAGCAGTCTTGCAACTTGTTGGGCGTTGACATGCTGCACATATATCGAGGGAGTACTGTGGTAATGGGGGGGGGGGGATTCGAAGTAGCAGTAGAGCAGATGCGCCGTACGTGCCTCACGCGTGATGTGATATAACCGCTCGCGGCACGGAGCGGCGAACGCCGCAGCGAGCGGAGCTCAGGAGCGCAGGAGAGGTTGAGACAGGAGACGGCTGGGCTTCGGCTCTGCGTTCTGGACAGACAGTTGGCCCACCCCCCCCCCACTCCGACGCATCCATCTCTGCGCTCTTTGCGCCGCAGGCACCGATGAGTACCGCGCCTCGCTAGGTGCGGGTGTTGTGCTGTGCTGTTGTGGGGTGCTCCCAATTGCCCATCAGGTTCCCCCTGTTGACACCTGCAGCGGTCTAGGAATGTGTTGTTGGATCTTCTTGAGCCCTGCCCACTGCCGATGTTTCTCGCAAGACATTGCAAAGGGCGCCACTTGCGAAGATCCATCCGTTTCTGGTAGGGGAGCAGAGGGGTGAGGGACCGATCAACGTAGCTGCAATATTGGCGCTGGCAGTGAACGAATCTTAGCCGCATCAGGGAAGGGGCGGAAATATCAGCGATATCAGATATCAGTGTCATTGCAGGCATGTCCAGTGCTCATTGCATGCATTTCACTCAGGTACGCGAAGACACGCACGCATGCTGAAAAGATGAAAGATGTCAACCCTACAGCCTGGACACTGACACTTCCACCCTGTTGGTCCTTCAGCAAACTTCAACACAGCACACCCAAAGCAGACCCAAAGTACACCAACGCCGAGACTTCATCGCTTCAAGCTGCAACGGTGCGACACATCTGCCGCAGACTTGGGATTTTGGATGTTGGGCCACCAGCCACACCAGCGTAAACAAAGATGGAAAGAGCTCAACTCCAAAAAACACACAATCAACACCGAACAGCAACACTAGAGCGCCAACAGCAACAACACACAACGAGTCAGCCAACTATTTTCCAAAACATGCAACCGAAGAGACGACCAGACTCGCGGACGCGCTCGAGCGGTGGTGGGCAATCCACTATCTCCTTCTCACGGTAGATTGTGCATCGATGTCTTCCTTATTTCCCTGGTTCTGATTGGGTGATTTTGTGTTTAGAGCTCCGGCTGGAAGAGCTGGACATTGGGGCGGGATTGGGCACTGAATTCCAACGCAGCACTATACATGAGGGACGATTCACGATTCGTTATTGCTTCGAGGTCTCTGGCGACGCTGACGCATGGTCGGAGTATCGCTCTCCTCCTGAGGTGCGAATTCGGTGCACAAGGCTCGCAATGCTCGTCACTAAATCCGCGCAGGCTTGCTCCTGCTGCATAGAATCCGTTCTTGGTGTTTCGGTTGTTATGTCTTGCCGGGCCTTCCAAGAATTCGCTGCTCAGCGGCCTAGCGGCATTCTCTCTCTTTTTCTTCTGTGCCCACTGCTGCCGGCAACTGGCCAAGCGACGGGTCCTCAGAGGGAGCGAGGAGTCGAGCCGCCGCACGGTTGCGGCAAAAAAGGCCTCGGAAGGCTGCCATGCCCTTGGGCTTTCGGCTTTGGCAGCGCCGGCTTTTCGGAGTTTCGGTTCGTCAGGATGTCGCCATAGGAGCCATGGCCGGAAGAGCAAAGGTGAAGGCGAAGCATGGGCCGAAGACGGGTGCTGGAAACCGAGGAGCAAAGAAAGGTCAAGGGGCCTTGCGGCCAGGCGCGACCGACCGACACACACACACACAGAGAGAGAGAGAGAGAGAGAGACACACACAGACAGAGAGACACACACACACACACAGACACACACACACACACAGACACACAGAGACGCACACACACACAGACACACAGAGACACACACAGAGACACACACAGAGACACACACGGAGACGCACACACACACACACACACTTGCAAACTCCATGGTGGGAGTAGCTAGGTTTACAGCACTTAACTTAAGCGAATCTGCACTCGCATGGGGTTTGTGGCTTGGCCCCAGTGCCATTCCAATGCATTCGCTAGCACTTTACTGCAGGTACACAGAGCTGGCCAAGCTCTGCTTCCCATGAGATCAGGTAGCTTCGTTGGACGTGGTCCCTGATCTCATGCCACGTCCCCCTGCTTTTGCTCAAAAGAAGCCCTTTGCTATCAGGGATTCACACACACACAGCTACTCCTCTGTGAGGAGTAGCGAAGGAGTTGTGGCAAAAAACACTGTACAAAAGTCGCTCTCAACTGGCCAACGTGTTGGCAACATGCATGAATTAAAACTGACTCTCAGGGAGAAACATCTCGTTTTCGCTTCCGAGCTGGACTGGATGCTGCCGGTTCAATCTTTGTCTCAGACGTGTAAGACGTCGGAGAACTATTGGGGCTTTGCATGCCCCGGGCATCTGCAGCGAGGCGATTTTGGATCCAGTTTTGTGTAGCTGGAAACCAATTCTTCCACCAAAGAGAAGAGCCGTCAGCTGCAATGGAATTGGTCCAGTAGTATCGCCATGAAATGGTTGGAGAACGAGATCTACTGCGATCAGCCATCGCGAATTTCTCTGAGAGCCAAGACTTAAAACACTGGATCGCAGATAAAGATATTGAGAAAAGCCGAAAGCAGCAAACATTTTTCAGCTTCGCTGCAACAAGATGATTATGGCATATCAGCCAGAGGTGAAATGACACGGAACACTCTCAAATCTGCGATAAGAGTAGAGCTCACGCGAGAACGATCTTCGCGACCGGTACAGAGCCAATCGAAAAAGATGGCTTTCTGCTGAGATTGCAGCAGCAATTGCCTAAAAGCAATGTACAGTGTCCCTTCATAGAGATAAAGAACAGAACGAAGGAAGACTCGGTTTACCGCACCATAAAAGGTGGCCTGTGGGGTGGCCTGTGGCATTGGTGCCGAGTTGTACATTACAGGTACATAAAGTACATTGGGCCAACCAGGTGACTGTGCTGGGCACTCCCTTTGTACAAAATGTTCGCGAATGGAACCATAATTGAGGCTACCGAGCGCGAGTGAAGTATCAGCAGGTAGCACAGAGCGAAAACGTTGACGAATGCGGTCAGAAATGACACGAGCCGCACTGTCCGGATAAGGCTCATCTGATTCAGAAGAAGAATCATCAAGCTCAAGTTGATCGCGATCTTCTTCGGTCCACAAGGCCGGATTGAAGTAGAAGAAGAAGATGTGCTCTCGCGAAGAGACAAAAGATACCACTCTCGCCACAAGGGCAGGTTCGGACACAACCAACGAAAGGGCCGACATGTGGCTTTTGGAGAGAATGGTTTACTGAATGAAGCCGAGGCAGCCTGCAGTTCATGAAAGAATGTTGCAGGTTTTCGGCACAGAAAAATCGCTGTACAGAAACGATCTTCTTTTCTTACATGACAAGAGAAAGCTGTAAAGGGCTTTACTCAGAAGTGTGAAAAGAAGTCCCATCACCAAATTCTTCGGCAATGAGCCTGACTGGACAAAGGTGGGCACGCACATAGTGGCATGTACACCGAAAACCGCTTCGAGCCATCATCTTGGCTACTCCTCTACCTTTGTACACCGTAGTGTTGGCTTCAGTAGGGGGTGAAACGGGTTTGCTGTTGCAAATGGCATCAAGCACCACATCACCGGTTTTCACAAGACGGGAGGTGGTTGTCGCTTCTTTGGCGGTAGCAGAATGTTTCACAACTGCTTTGTCCTTGTCTTTTGAAATCTTTTTGGATTTCTTGGACTGGTGCTTCTTGCCTTTCTTGCGAGAAGCTTCGTCTTTGGGACTTTTCTTCTGCTCACGGGAAGAACGAGCTTCCTCAGGAGGATCAAATGCAGAATGCCAAGAAGAAGCCGACGAAACAGGCGAGGGTGCAGCTGGAAACATGGCTGAGGCGGTCTCAAACCGATCAACCGCAAACTTGAGCAGCTGCAGCCAGGGATGTACATGCACCTAGAAAAAAGAAAGAGGCAGGCAGCACGCCTTGTGTTGCCGTTGTTTTTGCAACATGTCGGCATCAGTGCAGAAAGATGAATTCAGTATTGGGATAGGCGATTATCCAGCCCATCCTCCCCAAGCTTCGGTGTCCTGAATGCTTCTTTGATTGATCCGATCAGCAATCATTGGAAGCATGGCCGGAGCAGGAAAATCAGCAGAGTCTTGATCTGCCACAACAATAATGAAATCGATGCGAGCAGCTGACTCTCTGATGGCCCATCTTTTATCCTTGGAAATTGAGTGTACGGCTGGGTGAAGCCGACACATGGAGTTCTCAAGGAGTGTGTTGGCAGATGGACTTTTTATGAACTGTCCACTTAAAAAACCGCCGAACACAATACCAGCGGAGTTCTTAGTACTCCAATTGAGGTTGGCAGCCCATTCAATAAAATTCTCGGTCCACGAAGGATTTGTGTGGCACCGACCGAAAAAAGACATGGACTCCTGGTCATCTCGGAGACCGAGGGTGTAAGCAGCTGTTCGAATCACTCGGCCAGCTGCTAATATTCCGCAGGATCCTGGAACGTCGGAGCAGTGAGCCCACGCCAGGCTTGTTTGCCCTACGGGTTCCGGTCCAGGAAAAGACTGAACCTCAAACAAGTACAACTTGCTGTTACAGCTGGCCATATGGTAGCTCTTTGCCGTGGGCTTGAAATGATTGCCCACCTTGAGCTTGGCAGAAATCAAAGCTTTAGCAAATGTACGAAAAATGCCACTGTTCATCGACAGAGGCGGTGGAGCTTCTTGAAAAAGCCCCAGTAGCTCCAGGCAAACTCTATCAACATCAGAATTGGAAATGGAAGACCAAGGTTTGCAGTAAGCAATGGTGGCCCGTTTCCGATCGCGAATTTCTCGCATCTCGGAATGTTTAAAAATCAGCCAGGAGTCCGGAAACAGATTGTTGCGATAATGAAGAAGGAACAGCACATAGGCAAGGAAAGGCGTGAGAGGGTCTTTGGACTCAAAAGTCTCATAACTCTCCGCCATGCCACTTTGTTGTATCAGCTCACTTCCAGTGGCATTAAACGCATCAATGAAGGGCTGCTCTAAATCCTGAGCTTCTTGTTCAAAGGTGGACGATTGAGCATTCGATTTTCGAATCTCCTCATCCAACATTTCATCCGCTGTTTTTTGAACTGGCGGGTTGGGAGTTGAAGGCTTGCCATGCTGGTCGGGTTTCTCCGACCGCTTCCCTTGGGTACCTTTGGTACCTCTGGGCACTTTAGGTGGAGACTTTGGAGGGGTCACCGGAGCCTGAGAAAAATCGACAGGTCTTTTGCCTGTTTGTTTCTTTAGTGGAATCTGGAGCAGGAGGAACTTTTGAAGTCCTCGGCTCATGTGGAGGTGCCTGGCGGGGTTCAGACAATGGACCAGTAGGTTTGGCCGCCGATGAGAGAAAACCAGGAGGTAGCACTCGGTGCTGTGGAGGCTGTGGTTGCCACTGTCCCGGAGGCCCAGGTACCCATTGACCCGGTGGTGGTGTATGTTCACCATACCAATTTCCGGGAGGAACACCTGAAGCAGAGGAAGACGCTGAAGGAGAAACTCGAGCAGCTGGAGCCGATTTTGCCCTCGGAGGAGGAATGGGAGGCTCAGGCTGTACATGATGAGGTGATCCCCTATAAGGGGTTCCTTCAGCTGTAAAAGTCCAATCACCGGGCGGTGCATTTCTGGGTCTCGGTGAAGGGCGAAGATCATGTTGTCTTGGGCCCTCATTTACTGGGGCTTGTTCCAGTGGTCGTCGATCTCGTCGACTGCGTGATCGGTGCCGGTGGTGTCGCCGGTGACGATTGTGTCGGCTGGGCCCTTCATCTTCCGATCTCGCTCGAATTGCACGCTGCTGGGTAGAACTCCTAGGAGGATTTTCCGCCCCTTGATTGGGTGTACCAGCAAAGAAATTGAAGACGTACGACATCGCAAAAAAGGAGGCACAGGAACTGGAAAAGTTCAGAGCCAATCTGTAACGCATGAAATCATGAAGTGGCAGGTAACCTGCTGAAAACAGCACTGGCATTATGCAGTGCAGCATGTTTTTCTCAGGATGATCTCCTTTGCTCGAGGAAGGATGCCCCGGCTTTTTCCAGAAGCTGAGGATCGTACCCAAAATTGGTGTACGTCCGAACAAGAGTCTGTGCATCAGCTTCGGCTTGGGAAAAAGGAAAAGCTGTTCGGCTTGCCAAACAAATCCTGGCATAGGCAGCTGATAGCTTGTGAGCATCAGTGCCTGCCGTATTGAAAGGTCGAAATTGATGTCGGGCGGTGGGTTGT